GAGAGAGAGAGAGAGGCTTCCCACGCGATCGATCGCTATTAATCCAGATGTAAATAATATTGTACGTAATTAAGCCGGCGAGCAACTCAAAGGGATCTAGAACAAGGCTTGAGAAAGAGTTATTCGAGAGAGCCTTTTTACGCAACTCCGTTTGCTCTCTCTCTCCTTTCAAAATCATGACCTCAATAATGCATCGTCTAATTATTCCCTTAAGCGGAAAAGGGATTTTATAAACCTCGAAGTTTTCCAAAAAGGACGGTAATCCTGACGAGATTACGGCCAGGCAGACGCGCAGACGGTGCGCCACAGGAAATTCGTACCGTCGCTAATAATCGAATAGAGCGTCATCGATTTTTCGGCTGCGGAAGTGGACGCTTATCTGTTTACACGTATTTCGCCGACAATCATCGGCGGCGATTGAATTGCGAATGGGCCACCCCGAACGTGAGTATCCGCGTCGCCGGCGAAGCGCCCGGGCTTTTTCCAGTGACGAGAGGGGATCAGGGACGCGCGACAGTAAAATCGAAATTGTCAGAGCTGCCGCTTTAGTTTTAGAGCCTTGGGTTACTACCGCCGTCGAATCCCGCCGCTTCCAATCCCGCCGGGCTTCCCCGGACCCGCCCTCCACCCTTGGCGCCCTTTTCTTTCTCTCGCGGAAGTAATAAGTATCGTCGAGACCGTATACCTTCCTCGCTCTTTCTCTCTCTCTCTCATAGATTTTCCAGAATTCAATCAGGGAATTTCGACGTTGGAAGCGAGAGAGCTCGATCGTGCGAAAACGCTAGATGACTTATTCTCAATCCGCGTTCATCTAATTTTTATGCCGGCGGTGCGACAGGGGTGGGAGGGAAGAAGGGAGCTTGCGGACTTGATGACCAGAGGACCAGGGAGATCTCGAGCGCGAGCTTCTTCTTATAACTACGTTTTATTGGACTGTTATGTTTCGCAAACGGGGAAATTTAAATGCGACGCTTAAAGTCGCGCGCGAAAAATCCCGTTGTCTGATCTCCGCTTCGCAAAATGCTCCGCGAGACACTTGACGCGCGAGTATTCGTGAATCTGAGAATCAAGTCGATTCGCGACTTTCACGGGGGATTCGCCCGACGATCTAAAGTAACGTAATTTAAAATAACTGCATACCTTTCGCGAGTTGCCGGAAACAGATTTTGTCGTTACCAAAAGGCTGCCGCTTTTCGCCTTTTATTCGCCCAGCGAGCTCCCCCGGAGCTCCTCCTCCAGAGAGCAAAAATTCTTCGCGCTCTTTCCTTCATATTCCCCCGACGATATGCCGATAATGAGCGGTTAACGGTAATTCATTAGCGGCTAAAAGATATAGACTTATCTTTCTCCAGGGAGAGCCAAGCGATTAATTTACATTAATTAAACTGCATTGAACGCCGGGACGTTAACAACGCGTATTGGGAGCACCGTCAAAAATTAATATAATTGAACGTTCCGGTGCAGATGCAGATGTACTCGAAAGTGTTAAATCCGATTATGTCGCAGCACGGTTAACTAAACTGGGACCTTTTCGGTATAATTCGGCAAGCCGATTAAAACTTGATGCAAAAAGTAATTGTGTAATCAATCCTCCAGGAGTAACGACAAATTATATCTGGGAAACGCGACGCCGGAATTGTCTATTTGCGCATTCCAACGACTTGGTAAAAATTTCATGGTTTACGCAATACCGCGAAACGATGCGAGTGTTTCGCTGTTATCGCCATTGCTGTCATCCTCACGCTAATGCCGATAAACACCGTCATTAAGACTAATTTACGAGATCTTCTGACGCGGATCTGACTTTCTAATATTTTATCGCGTGTAATTTACCCGTTTCCCATAACGTGTCGTTAAGAGTAGATTCGCGTGGACAATAAAAAACTGCTTGTGTTTTATTTGCGAGCACCGCCTTTTCCCCAAGTATGAATAAATTTTCTATTTTTCCTTTCTTTTCCTCATCCTCTCTCGTCATTGAGAAAATAATTTTATCCATCTTATGGAATAATTTCTACATGTTCGAAATAAAACATTTTTATTATTCGCGCATCTCTCAATTTATTAAACGCTAAATTTCACACTTATCTTTGATTTGTAAAGAAAAAACGAAAAAAATTAATTTTCGAACGTAATTTAATTAAGCATATACTTTTATGAGCTTTTATAGCTCCTTTAATAAATTGATATCGATAGAGCCGGCGCGTTCCTCAGGGACCACGGGAGTGGCGTCAGGTGTAATCGCAACGAGAACCGGCTGCTCGTCCATCCGGCTCACTTTAATAGCGTATTCTGGTTGCATAATGCCTGAATGCCTTCGAGCAGAAGGAACGAGAAAACGCTCGCGCGACATTGACCGTTGCCGAATGCTTCGCGTTCGGGCCGCCGGCGTGTAGATGCTATCGCTACGAATTTGTTTCATTCATCCCGCGAGCGTTTCGATACTTTGCATCTAGTTAATGTTATGCCACGGCGCGAGCGTAAGACGATCTATTACGTCCTCTTGCGTCAGAGCTTTCGATAGCTCTGCGAGTAACTGGAGCAGATTTTGCACAAATCACGAGCCCGCTCCCTCGCGCTCTCGTTTCAAATCCTTTACACGAGACACGGACACCAAATCGCAGCTCGAACTCGCGGATGACTCTGATGTTCTGTAGATGTTTACAAGAGACATAATGCCACGAGAAAACTGAGCGGATGACACGGATGACTTCGAGCCGCGAGGAGCTAGGCAGATGCGTCGCTTATTTTGCAAGACGCTTCTCTCTCTCTCTCTCTCTCTCTCTCTCTCTCTCTCTCTCATGAAGACCCGCGCGATTTCGCGAGTGCACTCGAAGAAAGCGTCGAGACAAAAAAAAAATCTATCGGGTTCTCCTTGGCGATTGAGCGTGGCGAATATGGCATTTTTTTTCTCTTCTTTCCTTTTACAAGCAAGTGAATGGATGCTCATGGGTGAACGCCGACGTGTAACAACACGTCGCCGCGTTGAAACACCCGCTTTTGACGCTCCACGCGACATTACAAGAGCGCGCGCGCGCGCGCGCGCGTGATATCGTCCATCAGCCTCGAAACTTTCACTTCTGCATGCGCGACCGACGGCGCGCGATACGTACGTACGTGGTGCACGTACACGCGTTTCACGGTACTCGCCTTCGCTCTCGTCGCCTCGAGATCTCGTTTCACCACGCGAGAGAAACGCGGCCAATTATGCCGCGGCAGAAGCGGCGCGGCGCGAGAGCGGCCGACTCGCTCGATTCGCGACTTTCGATCTCTTCTCTTCGTTTATCTTCCTCCGAACGATATACTTGACTCGCAGTTACGTAATATGCTCCTGCAATATGCTCTTTTTATGAGGCGCTATTTGTTTCCACAGAATTAGGACTTGTTGTATCCATCGAACGAAGCTGAAAACGAAGTTTCGACTCGGAATCGAGGCACAACTATCCCCGCGAGCTTCAACGCACACGCTTTTCCTTTAAAAGAGAAATTTTTCATTATCCTTTTCAAAGAATTTCACTTTTCCAGCTGCATCTAACTGAATATAAAGCTTGACGGTAAAAAAACGATCAGTCTGATAAAATGTGACTGCGACGTATCGATGAATTTAGATGCGCATATTTACATTTTAATGCAGATACGCGTGTTCGGCCTACATGAAAGCGATCGAGCGATCGAGCGTTCGACTGATAGGTAAAAGGGTTTAAGAATCAGCGTTCGCCCGAATGAGATTTCAGGCACGAGCCGACGCAATCTTCCGCGCTCTTTCCATTATGTCGCGCGCGCGCGCTACGTCGTCGCCGAGAAATCTCGCGTTTCTGCCCCGAGTTTCCGCGCAACTCCATTTTCCGTACCCGGGAGGACCCCGCAAGGCGTAAACTCGGGGAAACAAATCGCGTATAGCTAAGTTGCAAAAGTAATAACGCGATGGTGGGGAGAACCGGGGATACGAAGCGCGGAGACAAATTGAAGGTAGAAGTCGCGGATAACGACGACGCGACGCGAGAGCACGCTCGGCGGCACACTCGGCCATTAGAGTTGGTGCATTATAACGTTAACGAACCCGACGTGTCGTTTCGCCTAACCTGTCAATTCGCAGGCACGCGAAACGTCGTCCGTCTCTTGCGTCAAGAGTTGCCACGCAGTTGCGAAAGCTCCGTGCTGTTTTGGATACGCGCCGCAACGGCGGAGAATCGAGACTCGTCGATGAAGCGGTGGAAAAATGACACAGTACCGATCGGACAACTCGCCGATGGTCAACGTATACGCGGAAGTCTCGGCACGCGGATGGAGTAACAGCCTTAAAATGACAGAACAAAACGAAATGTAATGCATATTATATAATAGAATAATAAAACACGGCAACGTACGATAAATAACAGAGAGCGAGAGCTCTCTAATGGAGAACGCGATGGTCGCTCAATCTGTACACGTCAGACGTCGTATCGCGCGGCCCCGCAATCTCATGGATGATTTTACGAGCTTCTCCGAAGCCGTAGCGATTCCATTCACCATTTCCATTTCTCACGGCGGAATCTCGACGGGCTATTTTAAGCGGCCGCCCGGAGGAAACCGATCGTCTGTCAAGATTCTTTTGGTTTCCCCCCATTTCCGTTCCATTATGCCCGCCTCGCGCGAATAAAAGTCCGTATTCGTGCGGGAATAACAGTATGCCAAAACAATATGAAGGCCGACATCATCATCATTATCATCATCATCATCATCATCATCATCATCATCATCATCATCATCATCATCGTCGTCGCCGCCCTCACCATCGGCGACGCAGCGGGCAATGAGTATTTCTCTCGCAAGACGGCTGTGTGCCTGTAACCTGTTGCTTTTGAATTTATCTACATCCAAGCCTTTCATCGGAGGGGCGCGACAGGGTGTAAGCACCCTGAATAAGCACGCACATAAGTCCGTTACTAATTCATTTCCCAGGATTCGGAAATCACCGGGAATCCGATTAGCGCCGTAGCCGCGACCACGCATCCTCCGACACGCTCTTCTTCTCCATCTCTGCGTTTTATTCCCTCCTCTTCCCTCCTACCCTTTCCGCCATTATTTCCGTTTCACCACCTACGGTCTCGTCCTTCCCCGAATCCGTCGATCTTGCATCATTTTACGCTGTTGCGTGTACTCCAGATGCGGTGTAGCAAAGATCGGACAGATAATGTGAGAGTCGGAATTGGCGAGGACGTCTGCGTGAACTTCACTAAATTTGCTCCGGCACCCGCGGAACATATCACCGAATGAAAATTATCACCGTGAAATCCGATTACCATCACGGGACTTGATCGTCTCTCGGTTTCCCCTCTTCCCTCTTCTCTCTTTCTTTCTCTCAAGCTCGAGTTTCTCGCGAAACCACCTTCGCGAAATTCACCTGTTCATAAATTACGAACACCATAAAAGCAAGATTAGGAAGGTTACTTTTTAAAAGTAACTCG